AAGTTTGTGATGGCTGGGGGAGCAAAATCTAAAATGTATTCCAAATAAATTTGAGCCCGTTCCCACTTTTTTGAAATTGGAATTTCCAATCTTGACAAACGACCGAGGTAGGAAATGAGAAATTCACTCTCAATTCCATTCTTCTGAATTGATTTCTTTAAATGTGGTAAGAAACGTTCAAAATATTCCAATTCATCGAAAATATCTCCAAGGATGGTGAGAGAGTATATGTTGTCATATTTCTCAATTAATGTTTCCAATATTTCTCCAAAATCCTCCTCTCTTACCTCTAATGTCAATCTGTTAATAGACATGTCAATCAATTCTGTCCAATACCTGAGGAGAATTTCTGACTTTTTGTGAAATTTCACAAGTTGAAGCAAGACATTATATTCCACTAGGTCAATATCATCACTTATTTCAGTTTCTTTGAATCTATACTCCTTATTTGTTAAAATTCTGATAAATAATGGAAACAATCCTATTCTATTAACCTTTTTGGAAAGGAATGTGGAAATAGTTGTTGAAATAATTGACAAGATTTGCCTTTCCAATAGGTATTTGAATCGTCCTCCAATTAATTCCTCATCATTCTTCTTCTCTTGTTCCTCATCACTGACATATGCAAAGAAATCATTTTCCTGATCAATCACTTGTTCTTCTTTTTGAGATTCTTGTTGTTTAATCATTCTGAGTGAAATTCTATTCGCAACTTTATCTTTCAAAACATTCATATCAAACGAGTTGACCAACATTGTTAAAATAGATTTGTTAATTTGATAATCAATACGTTCCATTATTGTCTTGTTAACACATTTCATGGATTTGAGTGCAATAATGACCATTGATTTCTTCTTGGAATCGTCCGAGTTTAGAATGGAAATAATTTGTTGAGCATTCAAGTTATTCGAAACTTTCAAGTCAGAACCACACAACTCTTGGCATTTTCTGAAATAATGAATAATATTAGAGGAGAGAAAATGGTTGAGCTTTGCCTTCCAAAACGGTTCATATTGATCTAGGGAATTCCACTCTCGACAAACACATAAAGCATTTCCAATATCTTTCAGTGGGAGAAATTCCATCACGTTGAAAATTTCATCGAGTGAGAGGGAGTGTATACAGTTTGATGACATTTTTTTTAACAAGAAAATTTACAATAAAGTTCAAAAAATGTTCATTGAAATTCCATTCTAATGCAAATATCCAAAACTAAACTCCATACTATCCTTTTCCAACGACTTTCCGTGTTACAGCAACCAAATTGAAACAACATGAAAATTTCAAAAACTAAAAATAAAGCAAAATCGCAAAAACTTTAAATTCACAAACATTTTCAGGAGATGAAATTTTCAAAACATAAAAAAATGTCTGCAACTATTAATAATAGATTGGCTGTTGTTCCGAATAGAATGACCTTACAATTAATGGAGAATCGTTTGAATAGTGCTAAACGTGGTCAATCGATGCTTAGAAAGAAATCAGATGCTTTGAGAAATAAGTTTTATTCGATTGTGAACGAAATCAAGGAAGAAAAGGAAGGAATGACAAGCTTGTTTCGTAAATCATTCTTTTCATTGACTGAGGCAAGATATAGTGCTGGAGATTTATCATTTGCAGTTACTGAAAGTGTTAAATCTGCAGCTGTAAGAGTAACAAGTCATATGGAAAATGTGTCAGGTGTCAAATTTGCTGTATTTACTCAAGTTGATAATCAAGAAGAGAAATTGCAATTTAAGAAATCACCTTCAAGAAAGCAACTTTCATTCCTCTCAAGAGGAGGTGAAGAAATTCAAAATTGCAAATTGACATTTTCTGAAACTCTTCACAAAATGATTCGTTTAGCAAATTTGCAAACAAGTTTCATTTCATTGGATCAAGCCATCAAGTCAACCAATCGTCGTGTTAATGCCTTGGAAAAGATCATTCAACCAAAGCTTTCCAATACCATTTCGTATATTAATGAAGAATTAGAACAAACTGAGTAGGAAGATATTTACAGATTGAAGAAAATTCGACAAAATAAGATCAAGCAAGCAAGACTGAAGAAATCAAACTCTTCCACACCAAGAATATTGCGGTAATTTTGCCATGGATTTATCTGTACATACCAAAATAAGCAATTAAAATAAATTCCATATTAAGAATTACATTTTTATCATTTTCCACAATATTCAAAAGAATAGTCATCAGTTTAATTTACAACTCCCTTAACAAAATGCATTTATTGCCATTATCAAACATGGTATAAACACATGGCATTGTCAACCAGCAATGTGAGCTCTTGCCTCAATATTTTCTTCAGTGAATCAACTTCAAAATCGAATCCAGTACATAGTGGAAACACAAAAATTAAACATGTATTATTGATATGTGAACTTTGCGTTTATTTTCATATCACACATGATTTTACTCTAGTTTGCAATGAATACTCAAATTAAAATGAATAAGGAACTTCTCCTCGAAAGAGTTCATCTAAAAATTTGGCGCCAAAAAAAACAATCATAGATGACAACCTAACCTATCCAATGCAAGGTTCTTTTGAGGTGAACATGTTACTCTTTCATCCAATAAGCAATTTTTAGCCTTTTAGATAATTTTTATCTCTCATCAACATTGCATCTCTCATCACAATAATTTCACGGGTGAGACTTTTCAATGGCAAGTAAGTTACAAATGCTTGTTGTGTGATGTAATTTAAACAACATTCAGTTTATTGGCCACACAACAATAACAAATTAAAACAAAATACAAAACAATTAATTGATATAATATAATAAGATGGCTCCGCAACAACAAACAAAAACCTCAAGCATTCAATTGGAAGAACAATCAAACAAGTATGAAAGAGTTAGTGATGATGCCGATGAAGATGATGTATTGACTTGTTCCTCCTCATCATCAACTACATACAATAAGAAGAAGAAGGTTGAAAAGAAGAAGAGATTGAGTGTCGCTACATTGAAAACTTTCATTTCAGTCTTTCTTTTACCTGCACTTTCTTCATGTGATAGTCCGTATGCAGCTTGTACGAAGGATGTAGTTGGCCCTACTGCTTCATTTTCAATGTTGTAAAGTATTTGGTCAACTTTCTCTTGAGAATGAAACTCTATATAGTCCCAGCGAGTGAATCAATGTAATATAACCACCTAATCTCCAACCCCATAACACACACCACCTAGTCATGTAATCCAATCTCTGTTAATGTACCTTATAATATATTAACAACATTTCTTTATTGTAAATAAATAACAATTTATCAGAATCAAGGCATAGTATAATTTTGTAAATATCTATAGATATCTCTGCAATTTTCATCAATTTTGATATCCTGATTCTCACGTTAATGCTCCACACCTTACAAGTCATGAGGATAATCGGCCCAACCTTCACACCATAATAGTATGTTTTGTGAAATGGCGCAATAATACTGGTGTTCAGCCGACAGTAAGAAAAAAAATGCAACAAGAATCCTCAACAACACCAACACTTGTGGCAAGCTCAGCTCTTCAAGAAGCAAGCACTGATTTGAAATCGCACTGGGAAAATGTTTACGAAACCAAAGCAGATTCACAAACAAGTTGGTTTCAGGAAATTCCGGAAACTTCATTGGAATTAATAGAAAAGTTTGGTTCCGCTCTCGATGTTTCTGATGCCAACAAGACATTTATCGATGTTGGTTGCGGAAATTCCCATCTGAGCTATGAAATAATCAAGAGAGAAAAAGTGACATTTGGCGAATATTTCTTGATTGACATTTCAAAGGCAGCTCTTGAAAGAAGTCGAGAATTAATGAAAGCTTTGAATGGATTGGAAAGAGTTTCATTCATTGAAAGTAATATTTTGAAATTGGACTCGGTTTTGAAAGAAGAGCAAATAATTGACATTTGGCATGACCGAGCCACTTTTCACTTTTTGAATTCTATGGAAGATCAAGTTCAGTACTTAAAAATTATGTGCAAATTGTTAAAGAAGGGCGGTTACTTTCTCATTTCCACATTTTCATCAAATGGTGGACCAACTAAATGCAGCGGTCTTCCTATTACTCAATACGACACTGGAAAATGGATGAAAATGTTTGAGAATGTTGAGTGCAAGTTTGAACTTGTTGAAAGTTTCGAACAAGTGCATACTACACCTTTCAATACTACTCAAAATTTCCTCTTTTGTATTTTCAAGAAAGTTTAAATTTATATTTCACACATTTTTCTATAAATGGAATAATAATTATTAAATTGGAAAGTTTTTTTAATCATATGAGAGAATTTCCAGTAACATTTTTTGGAACTGTTCTGAATTAATAATATCTGAATGAGTTTCATTTGCACATCGATGAACATGAACTGGTTTTCTTTGACTTTTGGCAAATATGTGATTTAAAAGTTTCTTCCCCTCTCAAACTCTTTCTAATTTCGTAACTTCCATTCGAAACTAAATAGTCACCATTTAATAGGAAACTCTGCAATAATCGAATTTAAACCTTCCATACCACACCAATATCCTTTCCAAAAATCCTAACATTTCTAATGGAATTCTTTATTTAATCTATTCATTCAAACATCCTCTTCTTCCTCTTTATTGTATCCAAATGGATGACAAGTTTTTCTACTCATTAAGGCAAGACAACAATTTACAACATATTCATAGTAAGGCTTTCCATCTACATGGATTAGTTTGGGTTGATAGTAGGCTCTTTGTATTGTGCTTCCTGAACTTGTAAGTGATTGAAATGTATTTTTGAAAACATAGAATGATTCTGTGTGGAAATCAGAATTTGCAAATATTGCCTTAACTTTGATTGATTCCAATTCATTTTCTTTGTCATTGTAATCAAAGGAAGATAGATATAGATATATTGATGAGTTTTCTCTAAAATCCTTAACCTCTGTTAATTATCGCGTAGTGAAATACACGTGTTTGTAACTAATTTCATAAAACTACTTACTTTTGGCAACACCCAAGTGATTGAAACAAGCTGAAAACTTGGCTCCAAATGCTGTGAACTTATCTGAATAACAACACCTATCAATATTATCAGGACTAACACGAAATGTCAAAGTATGGATGGATAATGGAAACTCTGCTGCCCATCTATGAACAATAGGAGGATAATTAGTTGAGGATAATTCCTTACTTCCAACATGGAACATTTCAATATTATTGAAAGGTTTGAATGGTTCTTCCTCAACTTTCTTCATCCCAACCACAAATTTAAACTTGAGAAAATCATCCTCATCTGTTGAGTAAGCGGCAATATGAGTTTTATCAAGAAATACTCCATAAGATGCTTCAGGCATAATGAATTTTCTACTGTGAACAAGATAGGATTGAGGTTCTAGATCAAAATTACAAATAAAAAAGTCGAGTCTTATTCTATCAAATACCTGTTGCTTATTCTCTACTGGAATTGTGGAATTTAGTGTTAAAAATACTGTAGAATTGCCCAAACATTCATCTTCATCATCTGTTTCCGATTAGATAATTAGAAAATTAATAAAACGTAACATACCTGGCAGAAGCTCCACAACCCACTCGTGTCCAAACCGTATGAAAGGTTCAGAATAATAGCTAGTATTAAAAGGGCCAGTTTTTGGTACCTTAACATCTGCAATATGAATGGTATAATCTTTTTTCTGTGGTGGAATATTCTCCTGCACAAATTGGAAAAGGTCCTCTCCTATAGGTTTCAATATTGGCTCAATTTCTGTTTCTGTGAACTCTGCATCTATTTTTGCTTTCTTTTCTGCAATAAGTTCTAAGGTTTTCTTCGAAGATTTGAAAAATTCATTGGACATGACTAGGTTGATAAAGTCCAAAATGCTATCATTTTGTGGGAAATAATCCACTACTGCAATAACAGTATTAATAACAACATGTCCAGAAAAATTACAAATATCTTGTTTCCCATCAATAAACTGATGTAAAACTCTACTGATCATCTTTTGTGTGCAATTATGAATATTATACTCAATATCATTCAAACATTGTATGATATACTCAAAACAATTGAAAAAACTGGTGAACCTCCCTAAATCCATTAAAATATTAGCAACAACACAAAATTCAGTTTGAGATAATATTAGAGGTATTAACTTTTCCAGATCGTGAATATTATTTTCCTCAAATACAATTTTTCCTTCTTTCCATAGTACATCCAAAAGATCAATTATTCCATAAAAGTCCACATTAGTTTCATATTGAAAAGCACTCAGAAAAAGTTTACAAATTTCGGCTTTCGAAATGTCTAAAAAAACATGTCTGGATAGTTGTTCAATAGCTAAACATGCATCTTTCATTTCTCTTACATGCATTCTTTCTCTTACATAGGAAAGACCTTGATCAATATCATTATAATCAATTGTTGGGCAAATCCATTTTGTGCTTGGTGATTCTTCTTTCATTATAACGGTAACCCTGTTAACTTCTTGTTCAAAAAGAGAATAATCTGCGCTCAATACTCTAGAGTCAAAGCATTCCAACAGTAAAACTCTACAATTGGTGAATTGTCTGAAATATTGTGTTGATTCTTGTGTAAGGCCGTTGTTGTACTCTATTTTTAGGATATCCAATTCATCAGATAGGGGAATAATATCCTTAATAAATTCATCTTGAATCTTACATCTTGAAAACACTAATTCTTTTAAAATTTTTGTAGAGAGCAGCCAGTCTTTGAATCCAATTTCTGCTCCAGTAATCTCTCCAACAAAAGAAAGATTAGTAATGTTACTTGGAAAAGTGCACTCTTGTAAGTTAGTAACCTGCTCACCAAAGCATACTTTCAATGTTGTCAAATTCTTGAATTCTCCAAGATATTTTAGATATTCAACATTCTCGTTGGTTACCCTTACATTAAGAACCTTTAGAGAACTCCTAGGTAAATGAGGAATAACTGAAGCTTCAATGGCCTCACCTAAAACTTCTTCCAGTTTGCAATTTACTATTGCTTGGATATTTTGATGAATAATTTTATCTTGGAGCTGTTCACCTTGCAGATCCAAAATTTTTAAATCTTCACATTCATGGAAAAAGAATGGTTCCTCCTCAATATCAAAATAAGTATCAGTATGATACAACAGTTTTTCCAAATGTTGTCCTGCCAAAGCCTTAACAACATTAAAACAAACTATTTCGTTAGTACCTCCATAAATTTTCAGAATTCTGAGTTGTAAACAACTTTTCAATTGTTCCAAAATATCTTCTTTTACAATGGTAAATTGAAAATTTCTTGGAAAGTCTAATGTTAATTTAGACAAGTTGGAGAGATTACAGAGACAACCTAACAATGTATCTAATTCATATGAGGAATCATATTCATTAGTGAAAACAACTTTCAATCTTTCTAATGTTCTTGAAAGGAGACTCAAATTCTTTTGAAGATTCAATATTGTTTCATCAGAAGTTGATTTCCATACCACCTTGATCTTTTTCAAATGGGAGAATGAATTGGATGAAAATACTGAAAAGTATGAACCAGTTATATTTGATAGTGTGTCTCGAGAAAAGAGAGAAAATTGTTCAATCTTTTGTGAAACATTGGAAAGTACTAATGACATGATAGAATCATCAAAATAAATAGGGTTGATAACCAAAACTGTTAAATTTGGACATTGTTGTGTGATGTCCTCAATATTCTTGCGTGTTAGTGGATAGTTAGAACGAAACTCTGTCAAAGATTGAGGAAACCCAATCATGGTTTGATCCATTTCTTCTTCATGGAGATTTCGTTCAGATACAAGACGTATCAACTCGAGAGTTTTTAAATTCTTAAACTCTTTCAACAAGTGAAAATATTCAGTTTTAAGATTAGTAAGTGTCAATACTGTCAAAGATTCCAACAATGGACTTGCATTCATTATCCACTCAACAATGAAACTTCCAGAAACACAAAGTTGCAGCTCTCAACCTCAACTCTTCCACTGACAATCGTCCAAGCTCACACAAACCCACATCTAAAAAAGCAGCAAATATTAATCGACCATCAATAAATAATAATAAATTAATAAACAATTACCTGTTAATGACAAGAAATCCAAAGAATTGAATGTAAACAAATCAATAACCTTCAATCGTTTCATCTTGATCAGTAAATTATCGACAACTCCTCCGATCCTATGATTACCCAATGCGATGTGAATCAAGTAGCGAGTCTTGTTATTCAGGAAATAGTACCAGATCCACTCATCAAAAGCCTTTGAAATAAATCTCATCTGCAGCAAGTGGTATTCATTGAAAAAACATAGCAAGTGTTCGGCACACAAATCACAAGGTAAATTTTGAATTTTCATTTTTTTTTTTTGATTTGTAAACTTCCGAAATTGTAATATCAAAATAATTTAAATATTAAATTTGATATTTAAATATTACATGATTGAGGGATCCCGATCCATTCTTAAATTCAATTCCTCAAAATATTTGTTTTGAATGAAATTTTATATACTTCAATATTGAATATTTATTAATTTGATAATTACTTTGAAAAATGTCAACAAGTAATGAATTGGTTGTTGACGTCCAACAACAAATTAAGGATGCTATGAAACAACAACAGCAACAGCCAGTGAGAAGGGAACACTAACAGGAAATCCCCTCAAGAAAAACAAGAAAACAAAGATACAGAAGATATTGTCGATCGACAAGAGAACCAAATATCAAATTTAAAGACAGTTTTACAAAATCATTGGAATGCAAACAATAATACCTATATCATCATGATAACCAATAGGAAAATGTTCGGAAGTACCTGATGGAATCGATCATGTTGTTGAACAATATTAGATTGAAAGTTTTCCGAATTATCATGCGAATCTGACAGTGATAATGATTTTAGTGAAAATATTGGCAACAACAACAGGCTGAGAAAAATTAGGTGTAGTATGTACTCAAAATTTCCTCTTTTGCATTTTCAAGAAAGTTTAAATTTAAAGTTCACACATTTTTCTATAAATGGAATAATAATTATTAAAATGGAATGATTTTTTAATCATATGAGAGAATTTCCAGTAATATTTTTTGGAACTGTTCTGAATTAATAATATCTGAGTGAGTTTCATTTGCAAATCGATGAACATGAACTGGTTTTTTTTGACTTTTGGCAAATTGATCACATAATTCCAAAGAATATATTGGAACAGTTCCATCTCCATCTTCACTATTCACAACAGTGGTGTTATGTAACACGTCCATGTAATTTAAATCTTTCAATTCCTTGTTTCCAGTATATCTGACACGTGTGGCTGTTGGAGTTCCATAACCATACATGCAATGAGTGGTCACGTTAGGTGCATTTAATCTATTGTGCTTATATTGAGAGTATTCGTGATGGTAGAGTGCAACTCCATTGGAAACTTGTGCATCTGTCAAGAATTTCTCAATATCCGAAAGGTCAACATGATAGCTCACATTTCCTTTATAAGAAAAGAATGGATACTTGTATGGAAATTGGGTTGGAGTCATGAATAGAATGGAAGGATATTGTCTAAGTAATTTCTTTGCATTTTCTGGTTTGAATCCTGGAAATTGCCAATTAGTTCCAGTCACATAAAGAATCTGAAATGTTTCGAATAAAAGTTAATTGAATTACTTACCAAAGAAAATGATGTTCCATCAAATGGACCAGCCACAGGAATATACTTGTAAATATATCTATCTTTCCAATCTTGACTCACAAAATTAGCTAGAAAATATTGTAAGAAAGGTCCTCCCATAGAATGCCCTAATAAGGAAACTTTTCTTCCATTCAATTTAAAAGTTTCTTCCACCAATTTTTGTAGTTTGAAGTAATCCCCTCCGAGTGACAAACTATCATTTGCCCTCTCTCTGACACCCACTCTCCAGTCATAAGTAAACCCTCTCAAACTCTTTCCAATTTCGTAACTTCCATTCGAAACTAAATAGTCAGCCAGTGGCTTCATATAATACCATTTACTTGGAAACTCTGCAATAATCGAATTTAAACCTTCCATACCACCAATATCCTTTCCAAAAATCCTAACATTTCTATCTTTCTGTCCAAGAATTCCATTTTTTAATTCCACTGACATGTCGTTCACAAAACAATCTTCTGAGAGATAGGGGATCATTTCCTGAAGGGATAACCAAATCTGAAATGGATCAGTGGTTCTTTGACACCACCAGTGTGGCTCGTTGGTGCTGTGATTTCGTTGGGACATGAGTGAGGAGCCACCCAATCCACCAACAAGAATTATTGGTGACATTTGAAGGTTTGAAACTTTGTTAATTTTGATATTGTGGATTGGATGTTTGGTAGAGGGTTGGATTGGATTGCCAAATTGAAAAATATTGAATGATTTTTCTAAGTCTTTGTTTCTTCTTTTAATTGGAAGATTATTGACAAGAACAGCTGACAGGAATGTCAATAATAAGAAGATATAGAGTTTCATGTGGTTCGGTTTTTTAAATTGGTGAATTGCTAACAAACTCATATCATGCAAACTAGTTATACGACAAGAAATTCCTTTTTCGGATTCGAATTTAAAATCGAATATTTATTAGAACTTAGGACGACATGCTTCTCGCAATTCCAAACATGAATATTTTCAATTGCAAGGTGAATCCATTTGTTTCACGCAACCATTAAATTTGATTACTATTATTTTGAATAAAATCTTAATTTTCTATGAATTTCAAAGATTTTATTTTGAAATTTGTTAAAATAGAATTCCCATATCTTCTGTTATACCAGCAGCTTCCATTATTTCAGGATCTGTCTGACATTCAAATGTTGCAAGGAAATAAGCATCAGGATTTTGCTTGACAGCTGTCAGCACTATCTCAGTATCTAATTGCAATTCAAATGAAGCATATTGAATAGCACAGCCATTATGTTGCACAGCTGTTGTTACAATTTCTCTGTCATTTTGATATTCATAAGCATTCTTAAGAGCTTGACCATCAGATTTGACAGCTGCCATTACAATATCCCTATCATCAGCCATTTTACCAATAATCCAATATAAACCACAATATTTGATTGGTATTAGTGCAGAGAAGGCTGTAAAAACCATTTCTCTTTCAATCGTTGCACATACATATCTCAGCAAATCTCCATTTAATTTGACAGCTGTCATGATAACTTCCTTGTCCATTCTTAATTCTCTTGATAATAATTGGAATGTACTAGGCTCCCTTCGAATAGCTATCAGTGCAATTTCCTTTTCTTGCTGCCATTTAAAAGGCAGATCAGTAAAATCCCTTTTAACAACAAATAATGAGGCAAAATCTCTATTTTCCCACAAATTCAATTTCTTAATTAGTTCGGTTGTCCTTTGCTTTTGATTAATATTGGTAAATCCATTCAATATTTGTTCATATATGTGAATTCTTGATTTCGTCATGTTTCGCTTGATATCTAATAACCATCCATTCTCATCCTTCTCATGAATTTGCTCATTTTGCATTCTTACAATACATTCCTTCACCACTCGTATTTCATCCTTATCAGAATTTCCTATCTGCTTCTTAAACAACTGTGGCGTCGAATAGTTTTCATCCAAAACTATTCTAACAGGCCACCAAGCCTCATATCTATTCAAAATTTTCATTTTTTTCAGTTTAATTAAACGTTAGTCAACAATGGCACTAGATTTATAGAATTTCAATTTTAATTCTCAAAATGCAGTTTCGTGATTGCATTCAACCTAATCTTGCTTAGATTAGCACAAACGTGATTTTCTTTCTCATTGGATGAAGTATTTTTGGAATGGGTAAGAATGAACTTGTGAAATTCTTGAATTATGTTGTTTCTACAGATAAGTAAATGATAGAAGTTTAGTTTGTGGCTTCACAGGTATTTGAAATGATCGGTTTAAAATTACCATTTCATTATTCACAACCAAATATGTGAATTCACATATTTAACCAAAAACCAAAACATCCACAAATCTTCAATCTCGAATATGTCAATTTATTTCGCTCTAAAATAATATTATTTACATGATACTACATTTACAATGTGGTTGTTTTCCCTCTCGATCATCTCTTTCATTATCATCTCCCTTGTTTCCTCTCTTTTTTGACATGTCAGGAAGAGATTTGGAAAACTCTTGTTGACTTCCAACCAACGCATTACTTCCAAGGTTTGCATTGCTTACAGTACTCAACCTAGTCGATCCAAAAAAGACAGATGTTGACAATTTTCCAGTTCTCGATTTGGAATCAGTTCTATCAGGATTTGTGGTGCTTGTTGTGTTGGCATTCTCTAAAGAAGTATTGGTGTTTTCGTCAGAATTTTTGACAATCCATTCGAATTGACATTCTTCATAGGTTTTTGTTTCTAAAGCTTCCTTGTTAGGAGCAAAATATGATTTGCAAATAGTCTTCAAGTGTGCATAGTCTGGCTCGCTTTCAAATTTAAGAGTTTTCAAATAATTTAACATGGTAACAAATTGTTGTGGCAGCCCCTTCAAAAGTTCAGCTGAATTTTGAATGGTGTGTTGTTCTTTCAGCTTTCCAATAACTGCCTTATCTCTCATTCTTCTCCATGGAAGATTACCAGAAGCCATTTCAACCATCACATAGAATATCGACCACAAATCATCTCTTCTACTCAATTCCAAACCGTTATGAGCATTGATCGACGCATAACGTGGTGTTCCTCTAAAACCACAACTACTTCTTGGTGGTTTCAAATTGCCGTCCTCATGTTTATAAGCACGTGCCAATCCAAAATCAATAACGAATATTCTTCCTCTCGCATTTCTTGTTCTACCAGTAACAAAATTAGCAGGTTTAACATCTCTGTGCAAAAATCCTGACTTGTGAATTTCCTCTATACAATCAATCATTTGAACACCACATCTCATTGTTGTGGCAAGATTAAAAACACCATTAGCGTTTTTTCTTCTCAATTCTGCTAAATTTTCTCCCAATCTTTCCATTACCAAAAAGTTGAGAGCTACATTTTCACTGCCATAAGTAATGTACTGTCTTCCACTGTGAATATAAGTGACAACATAACGACAATTTTGTAAATTTTTCAATGCACAAACTTCAACCTTCAGTGAAGAAGCCTGTGGTGTAACTGGTTGACCATTTTGTGGTTGATTACTCGTTGACTGAACCTTCTCAATTTTAATAGCAACCTCCTCAGAAGTCACCAAATCGTGTGCCGAATAAATACTTCCAAAACTACCTTGTCCCAATAAACCTTGAATTTTCCATCTGTTTTTCAGTAAAAATCCACATAAATTCATTTGTGGATTATTGGTAGAAGCAGGAGGTTGACCATTATGAATACCATTTCCAATATTCATCATTCCAATATTACTATTTCCACCAATAGCCGTCGACATGCCCAAATTTCCATTCGATTGAGACTTACTCAATGTATTCACTGATGAAACCACCGAAGGCGTACATGGTGTATTATTCAACATGAAACTATTTGTTGTCAGAGTAGCCACTGAAAGTAATCCACCATTTCCACCCCCACTACTTGTATAGTGATGATGATGTTTGTTGTTATTTGTTGTATTACCATTTGGCGTCGAGTTGTTTGTTTGTTGTTGTTGGTGTGATTCGTTGTTTGTGGGTGTTGTAATAATGGCGGGAGTTATTTGTGCTTGTGGTGTTGTTGGAGTGTTTGTGCTGCCGATTTGATGATGAGGTTGTTGCTGTTGAGGCAGCGTGTCGATGGTGATGCTCATTGTGTGATTTTGTATGAAGTTGGAGACTTTACGGTGAAACACAATACGGTACTATGTTTGTATGGGATGAAGAGTGAATTTGGAAAACAAGGCAAACTGTATAATTGTTCTTCTCGGAGTAGGAAAATACCTTGTGATTTTTTCTTCTTCTATTGAATCAGAGAGAATTAGTTTCGAATAGAAGAGGATAATGTGGTGGTGATGGATCAGTTAGCTCGTTTTTTTTCAATAGTGCACTCGGGACTGGTGAATGTTATCGAAAATTGTTCTCTAATATTGTAGGGTTTCTTCCATTTCGAATAAAGGACTGCCTTTAGAAACCACGATTTAAACGTTTGGGCGCTTTTCGATTCTTACGATAATATTGGAAATGATGGATGAGCATGAGAAATGTTTTAGTGGTAAGAGAGGTTGCCGAAACTCAACACAAATACGAAAGTGTCAAAAAATTAATGAGATAGGGTTGGTTCTGTAAATATTTCCTGTTTTTACAGGTTCAAATGGGGCAATAGAAAATCGATAATGATATAAAGTGGCCTTTTTTCAATAGTTGTAAATTATTACAAAATATTCGAATAAATTGTAATTGTATTACATTTACATTTACATATTAGAAGTTCACGAATCCTTTCGCACCAACTTTTTCTAGATTGAGAACGAATATCTTGGTAATCTAAGGACAAATTAGTTTTGCGCTTAATTTTACAAAGTCAAAGCATGAGATACTATAAAAAGCCAACGGAGAAGCAGGAAGAAATGTTCTCCATCCAATCCGAGATGATAAACTAAACATGTCAAAAGGTTGATTCGTTTGGAAGGTTATCATGTCAATTCATCACTGAAATCTTGTCGAAGATTACATGTCAATCTCACCAAACAAAATTGATTCAGTCAACTTGAACTGTAGAAGCAATTAGCTTAATTTTACAATAAAATACAAAACACAAAGTGAGTTATATTGATATTACAATAAGGTGGTAAAGGGGAGAAAGGAAGGGATTTAGGGGTTTGATTGTCATGGAGAATATAACGCGCATTAAGAACTATATTTACAGCCATAGCATTATTCAATTATCTTTGTTGTGATTGTTGTTCCGTGCGTTGCTTTCGTTCTTGAACTATCCAATCCCATTCATAATCCAATGAGTATCTTTCTCTCACGAATAAATTAAGGAATAAATTCCTCAGATACAAATAGTCAGGTTCTTGGAAAAACTTCAAACCTCTGGTATAATTCAAATAAGTAGCAAACTCAATAGGTAAACCCTTACAAAGAGAAACAACCTTGATATTCTTCTTCTTGTTATAAATATTGTTATAGTGATCTTCTTTAGTCTTTCCTGTCAAACCTTGCCATGGAAGTGTTCCTCGGAGGAAATACAATAATACATATCCCAGTGATTCCAAATCGTCTCTTCTTGATTGTTCATATCCTTTGTGATTATTCAAACTAGCATAACGAGCAGTACCTGTGAGGTGTTTATCTTTCCTTAAAGGAATGTGTCCTTTATCGCTAATGTACATTTTAGATAATCCAAAGTCTATCATATACACAGTGTTATCACTTGACAAGTTTCCATTTGCTGTCGTGCTGGTGGATGAAGAAACTTGTCCGCTAGATGATGGTTTTCTTCCCATTAAAAAGTTATCTGGTTTAATATCACGATGGACAAAATTCCTACGGTGTGTAAATTCAACTCGTTGAATCATTTGGTCAGCTAACATGAGTACAGTCTTTAAGGAGAATTTACGATTACATTTCTTGAAAAGACTTTCAAGAGATGGTCCTAAAAGATCCATAACCATGATATTGTATGCTCCTTCAGATCCATACCAATAGACTCTCGGTATTCCCACAACTGGTGTTTGTGGCATATTGCTACTGTTATTACTACTGTGTGTTCCGAATAAATAATTAATAACCTTAGCTTCATAGATCAATTGTTGTTTTCCTGCCATATTTTGTTGGTTACGTGTTGGCATTAATTCCAATTTGACAGCATAGTATTCTGTTGTTGTTTGTTGTTGGTCTGATGTTTGTGAATTTACAGCTAAAAACACTTCTCCAAAAGCTCCATTTCCTATTTTACTCATCAATCTATACTTTCCAGATATCACCAATCCCACAGGATAAGGACCAGTTGGATTTGTTGATGGTTGTGTTGCTGTTGTTGTATTATTTGTAGTTGTAGGTATTGTTTGATTTGGTGTTGTTGGAGAATGAGGTGTACCGGCAGAGTTACCTTGAGCTCCATTAGTGTTATTATTAATTTGCAAGTGGAAAGAATTGTTTGGTAAACTACCATTTTGTCCTGTATTGACAAGTGAGTGAGACCTGCCTTGAGATGTTGCCATCAAGTTTCCACCAGACGCTATTGTACTCCTTCTTTGTCCTGTATAATTAGTTCATCATTATCATTGTATTAAAAGAAGAAGAAAATATTAATATTATTATTGTTTGCTGTCAATACTTGTTATTTTGAAAACTTACCAGAATCATCAATAACGATTGGAAAAGCGTGTGATGAACCAGGTCTGGGTATGTTATTATCCTGTCGATTGGCATTATTTGGAGGTGCTCCTTTGTGGCTAGAATTATGATTGCCCATTATATTTTGTCTTTTGTGTTACTATTATTATTAGTAATAGGTATTATATTTTGATGATGAAGTTTGTTATTATTTTCTTTACTGATGATGATGATATTTATCTCCTATTAATGTTTAAATATGTATTGATTATTAAAAACGATCTATTTCGCCAATAATTGTTCAGTACACCACAACAATACGATATCTTTGTTATCCTCCTCAAATTATATAATAATAATATGGAATAATGTACTACTCTCTGAATATTCTTCTTCGCTGTTTTTCTGAACACAAAGCCGAAGAGTTGTATTGCTGAATAATAATTTCTTGGTTTTTTTTAAAGTTTGTTGAAAACAGAGGTCGGGCCAACAACAAACAAAAGGAAAAAAACTCTCAACGTTGTTTTTGTAGTTATTTGATGGAAGCTTTTTGAGCCGATGATGAGAATTAAGGATGAATAATATAAATATTTAAATATTAGATTAATTAATAATAATAATAATAGAAAAAGAGAGAAAAAGCCTTTTTGAATATTATAAGTTCAATGAATGGGAAAAGGCTTTGATGATTGTTTTTCAGAAAGCCTACTAGTAATCGATGGATAGAGAATGAACCGACCGAGAATGATAATAGATGGCAAATTAATGCTTTTTGAAGGAATTGGAAGAAAAAGGAATGTCGATAATATGATGAAGAATCCAAAACCAAGGCTTGCTTGTAACCACAAAGACAACAAGCCTACTTGTACTGATGTTGTTTTATTGTTTTGAAAGGTGTTATTAGTTGATGTTGGTGAGTCTACTGTTCATGTATCATATGATGGTTGACGACTGCTCTTTTAATCAAGTCAACACATACGTAGAATCGTCTGATATCAGATAGTCGTTGGAGCAAGTTCAATACTAGCACTAGTGGAGAGTTAATATTGGAAGGAATGGAATTATATTTGAATGGAATGATTGTAAATTGGGTTGAGTAAGATTTACATTTGAATACAAATTTCGAATATGAGAGATGCAAATGCTTGTTGAGATAATACCGTCCGTAGATGGTTTCCTTAAATAAGAATATCAAATCTGAGATGGGAATGAACTTGGCAAGGTTGGAAATAATAGATCCAAATTGAATTGAAAACTTAGTCAGATTCTGATGCAAGAGTAACAATGAATACACCCTTTTCAATATTGTATAAGGTAAAGGCAAAACAACCCCACCATTCCAATCCTTTTTGCCAAAAGATACTCCAGCATCTATTCCAAAACATTCCAAAATATATTAGAAATGTACTTTGTATGACATTGAAATAATACAATGCAACTTACCTATTTCTTGAAATAGTACCAGACCAATCGAGAGTATAGATATTCTCAAAGTTATTGAACAAGTTACTTCTCAATTTCTTGACAGCCAATTCAAAATTCTTTTCATGACCCTTCCTAACATAGTTACTACTTGGAGGTCTTGAGCAAAATGTAAAAATGTCACACATTTTGTAATCTTCCACTCTTTCCTCATGTGGCTTATTGGAAATCAAGTGGTATTTCAATGATTTCTCTCCATATGGATTCCATTTAGCATCTTTTAGTTTGAAAGATATTTCACATGGAGGATTATATTTGATATTCTCGATAGTCTCCACATAGGCATATTCCTCATCATCACTGCTACTACTCTCATACTCTCCATCTATGTAAATTTCCTCCTCATCGCTAGATCCCTCCAATTCATCATTTGGATGCACTGGACGATTACACATCCAGAGGAGTAATTTTCCAGGTGAAACTTTTAGCTCTGCAATTTCATTTTCAATTTCACTATTACAATTATTAGAATTGGAATAAGCTTGATTCCATTCACTCAATCCATTCTGATTTGAATCCCATGACAATCCAATACTGGAAATAGAGAAGAAATGAGTAAATACTTGTGGAATGGCACTTTGTGAATTTTCTCACACTCCTTGATGTGTAAATTTCTCATCAATATCTGTAACAATTCACATGGTTTAAACATGCTCACTCTAACAACACCTCCCAATCCCAAATATCTTTTAAAATCAGAATCATTTTCATCATATTGAACATTAATGAATGGTTCTCTCAGAAAATCCTGCAGTAATTTCCTACAATTTTTCAACTCGATTCCGAACGTCCTATCTTCTTCCTCATCGAATAGAGAAGTAATTTTGGAAAAGTGGAATTTTGAAAGGGTGTGTTGAATATAAAACTTGTAAAATTCCTCTTCAATGTTATTGGAAATTTCCTCATGAATATATTTACATGACAATCGGAAGGAATATAAAGATGATAAATCGACAAAATATTGGCAAATATTCAAAAGAGCTTGATGATTTAATTGTTGAATGGAATGATACGATGATGAAGTAACCAATTGTTGTTGAAGCATTTTTAATTTCACACTAATTCGAATATTCTTGAATTTAAAATATTGAGGAATGACAAAAATAATTAATTAATAATATATAAAACAATGCTGAAATGGTAATAATTAAAAAAACAAATCCTAATTGACACTTTAATATTGTCGTTTCAATATAAATACAACAAGATGAAATTATCCACGTATTAACACAATATCAAACATTACAACACTTATTTTGAATTACCTTCAATATTGAGAACCAAATTCTTTGTACGAACTTCATATAAATGGGAATGGAAATCAATACATTCCAAAAATGTTTTTCTCTCAACAGAATCTCTAATATCATCCACAGAAATATCCTTTTGTTGTGCAATGGCCATATTATGAACATAATTCATCATGTTATTATAAATTTCTCCACAAGGTGTCTTGATATCATACAACACATCATAAAAACTCTTTTTACCCGATTGATAAGAAATCATATCATTCGGAGTAACATGAGTAAAACGTTCAAAGTCTCTAAACGAATATTCTACTAAAACTTCCATTGGTCCATCGTCATCAATTTCTTGATGTTGTTGTCTTCCGTTTGTTGGTGTTGGTGTTGATGATGGTGGAGGTGGTGGAGGAGCGAATGGATCCACTTCATCGTCATGTTGATTGTCTTGCTGCATTTTTTTTTAGATTTTGTTTTTTACTAAATGTGGCCATTTCCACTGATATTGAAGGAATATTTAACAAGTAATTATTGTGTAATATTTTACTGTTATAAAATTATTGATTTTTTGAAGATTTGATGATTTTAAAATTATTTAATTATTTGAATTTTTTTAATAATTTTCTAATTTCTAATATATTTATTGCCTTTTTTATCAAAAAAGTAAATATTAGAGAAGTGGTTGTGAAAGTTCTTTTTGTTTTTCAGTTTTTGGAGATGAATCAATTTGATTTTCATAATAAATTGAATCATCTACTGGAATGGCATCCAAATTTTGTAAATTTTCTCCATTAATTGTAATACTGGAATGATTCAAATTAATGCTCAGATCGTCAAATGTTGTTCCTTCAACTGATTTTAAGGATTTTTGACTCTTAGTTACTAAATAAGGTAATCTTCCAACTTGTACACTTCCATTTTCAGACAAATTATCCCAAGAACCTTCATATTCATCTCTATATTCTTGATGTTTCTTCATAAATGCCTTAACTCTTGGTGATTTTCCACAACAACACAATGTACAATACACAAACAATCGGTAACTTTCCATTAATAATTTCATTGATGGAAACAAAACATAAATCAATGAAGATCCATAAGCTAGAAGGAAAATACTTGTAATAAATGGAGAATACAAGTAATAGAATCGATTACTTGGATACAGACCACTCTCACTCTGATAAATACTTGTGGCAATATCAAAAACCATGTAAAATGCTGGAAAGATTACAAAGAATGAGGAAGCCACCAAAAATCTAGTAAATCTGAATTGGAAAAAATTAATTCTCGAAACCTTTCTCAAATTCCAATAAATTTTAAATCCATAAATGAAAAGTCCAATAATTACGCAAACAAAAATTACAACCAAACACAACATGAAAACAGCAGAGGAGAAGAATGAACTGAAATAATCAGTAATGGCATAGGCAACCACTCCAGCAACTCCAAATGTCATGAATAGAAAGAGAGGAATACTAATCTTGAGTGAAATTCTTTCAGAATTGTTTTCAGTCTTTTTCATTACATCGACCCACATGGCTAGGATTGGCATGGTTCCAATAAGTGTAAATCCAGATCCTGTTAAGAACATGACTGATTCTGATGTATTAATTTCAGTAGGACTTTCAATGGTGGAAGAAGTTCCAAGAATGTCAGATGCCAAAAAGCACAAATAGCCCATTTGCAATGCCAATGCAGAGTAGAGTCTCAAATCAAACAAAATTCTCTTCCAAGATCTCTTATTATATGCAGAGGTAGTGAACATGAATAGAGTATTGGAAAATTCAGTTGACTTGTTGGCATTTCTTGCTTGACTATTCTTCTCAATAATTTTGGCAAATGTTTTATCATGATTTGACAGGATTGACCTCAGTTTTGGAATTTTGAAAGGTTTTCCTCTCAATTTCATGAATACTTCCTTAGTAAATTGAATCAACAATGGAACCAATACAATTCCAAATAAGAGAAAATTCAAAAGTATTTCCAACATGACCAGAATAATACTCAAGAATTTTGAATCATGCAATGGATACCAAAATTGAGTAAAAACATCACATTGTGAAGCAACCTTTGTGGAAAAGAAGCTTACTTCAGAGAATATTACATCATTTCCTAAAGCATTCACTTTTACAGAGCCAGGCCTTGGACAATAACACAAAGGTTCTGCTGTCATGTTCATGACATTTCTGAAAATACTATTTCTTCTAGAGACCATTTCAATGAGTGGATATCCATCTCTTAAATGATTGGTCGAATTTCGATTTCCATAATTACATTCAAATGGAAAATCTATAGCAATACAAACATCTCTCGATGGCAAAACTGGATACTTGTTGTAATCTCTGCAAGTATTACAAGCAGTATAATATTCTGCAATTTGATTCAAATTTGTAAAATTAAAAGGTAGGAATGGAACGATTTGATGCATTATCTTGTTCAATTGTTGTGAAACTTCCAATGTTTGAGGATCAAAATCGTGTTCCAAATTGTCATCATAACTGATGGCCCATTTTTCTAAAAATTGTAACACTACACGTTGTGGAAACATGTTCAAGAAAATGGTAGAATTGGTAATGAGTTCTGTAAAATTCAATCCATATCTAAAATTGTCATTTCTTACTAAATCTAGTAAATTCTGTGGAAAGCAAAACAATTTATCACAAACTTGCCCAAAATTGAAATATTCAGTCACATTCTTCACAACTATTGTTCCATTAATTAGAAATTTTTGTTCATAGGTCCATTTATCATATGATTTACAAAATTCAACCTCCTTTCCTAAATAGTAAAGAATATTTTCATCTGGGTTGACCATTGGCACATATCTTCTCCACTTGTTTAATGTAAACTTTGGGCATGTTAGTGGATTTTTCTGTTCTGGAAATTTAAAAGTCCACTCTGTCTGATTAAACAGAAAAACTCTCTCATTAAACATTCGTTCTCTTTCGGAATTAAATTTCGTATTTCTATTCTTTGAATTTGTTTTATATTCATCCCAATGTTTTCCATATAATATGAAAGGACAAACGTGCTGAGAACTGTTTGATGCTGCAACTTGATTTGTTGATGCATCATCATCCTCAACAAGTCGTGTCAAATCTAATGATTGATGACTTGAAAATGGTTGTGAATATTCACCAACAGTTTTAATGTTGGTAGGATTTGTTTTCCCCGATCCAATACTTCCCAATTGATCATCATCATTAATATTCAACATCCTTTGGTAATCATCTGTGATAATTGTCGTTGATGAAACATCATGTTTACAATAGTATAAAATTACAATAAATAATAGAAGAAGGGATAAAGTCCATGTTGGTGATGATATCAACGATCGTTCTTGTCGATATTTCATTGTGAGTAATTCTTCTGTTCGAGTTGATGATGTGATATTTGATCAAGAAGAATATCGGGATTTTTTAACACGTGAAATTTAATGAGTTGATGTGGTGATGGTTTTGCAATTTGGAAGGTTGAATTTAACCATCAACACAAGGATATTTGGTCCCTTGGCTTGATATCAAATAGTAACACATCATATTTAATATCTTGATGGATGTTTAGTTTGGATAATAAATAATGTTGTTATTGAAATAATATAATTAGAATCTTTTTTCACATCCTCTTAGAGAGTGACAATAAAGATTATCTTAGTGTTGGTTGTTTGGATGGTGTTTGTACAAAATTATTCTTCTTTGGTCTTTTTGGTTTCAGAAGAGTTGGCATTTTGGATGGTGCTTTGTTCAATCTTTCTCTTTCTTGGTTGAAGAATGTGAACTTCCTTAGTTGGTTCAGAAGAAGATGGTGCAAATCCTGATTGTACTGAACCCATTCTGTTGGTTACAACTTGATTAATGACTCTGCTAACTTCTTCCTGAGGCACTGATGGTCCATTAAGTTCAGCTATTCTTTCCTTCAAGTCAACAATGATTGACTTGTCATTATCAATGGCCTTTTCTCTGAGTTTGACAGAGTTTTCGAGAGCAGTTTCTGCCAATTTGTATGCTTCCAAAACTGGTGGAACATCAGAACCACCCATCGAAAGACATGTGGCAATTTCGAGATGTGTTTCAGCAATCTTTTGTAACAAGTCAACCTTCAAGTCATCTCTCTTATGGAAAATATTGGCAGCAACTCTAAATAGACCAAGACACAAATTATCAGAATCCTTAAGAACAATATCATAAAGCTTTAAAGCATTTTGATATTCAACAACTGCAGAATTAAAGTTATCATTTTCAGAATTCAAGACAGCCAACAAGGTATGAACACGAGCCAATTTCAATCTATAATTCAATTGCAATTCACTTGGTGACAATACCTTTCCAGAAACAAGGATTCTAACAAATGCAACTCTGGCCAATTCCAAAACTCCCCAAGCAAGTTCAAAACAATCTTCATCTTCTTCCTCTTCTTCTTCTCCAACTTCCTCTTCATTACGCATATCCATGTTCTTTTTAATAGCCTTTTTCAAGCTTCCGGAAATAATATTATCAACTTGATAACGTCCTCTTTCAATTAACATTTCAGCATAGACAATTAAAACTTCAGCACATTCAATGGATGATTCTCCGTATTGTTCTTCTCTATCCCTCACAACGTTATTGCCCAACAATTCAATTCCTTCATCGAGCAATGACAAGGCTTCTTGTAATTCTTCACCTACTAATTCAATGGCTGAAGCATTCTTTCTAGTTTTATATTCTTCATAGTATCCGATTGCCTTTACGATATCATCTTGATTCATAACGAGATGTTCTTCTAATGGGACTTCATCGTGAGTGGCAGAAGCAGAACCTTCTTCATGTTCTTCTTCATCTTCGATATCTTCTTCACCATCTACTTCCGCAGCAGTAGCAGTAGCTGTTGTTGTTGTTGTTTCTTCGATATCTTCTTCGAAATCAGCAAGTTCTTCGTCGTGAGAGTTGGACATTTTTTTTAATTTGCTTGTTTTTAACAAATTAATTGGCGCCAACCACAGAGAAGGCGGGAAATGATTCTCTATCTTCTACCATTCAATTTATTTTGTTAATAAACTAAATTGATTGTAAAGTACAGATTTGCTATGCAAATTATAATGAGAAAAGGGTTGGGGAGAAAATTATTTTTTAATATATTTCCGTATTAAGGACTTATCAAGAATATCATGTTCTTCAACCCAAGAGTTAAACCTAGAAGAAAAACCTTCCCATTTCACATAGAACCAATGCTTGCCATCAATATTGTCATGTTTGACAACTTTTTCAACGAAATAGACAGGTTCATCTTTCTTCTTAGTTGTTGTTTTGGTTGTGATGATAGTTCGTTTCCTGAGTTTTCGTTTTGGTTTTGTTTGTTCTTCCTCCGATTCTGAGTCTTCCGAGCTTGATGATGAAGATGAAGAGGTATCATCCTTTTTCCTCTTTTTTGAAGAGTTGGATTCCTGTTCTACCTCTGGTGTAACGACTGGTGTTTCAATTACTGGTTTTTCAATTACTGATTTTTCAACTGGTAATTCATCAGTCATTGTAGAAATACAAATCTTCTCCACACTATCAGTTTGGGTCTCAATAGTGACATGTTGCTTCCTAGGGGCAGCAAAATTAACTGGTTCTGTTTGAACATCAGTCGATAATAACTGATTCACAGCATGTTCTGTTTGAATATCTATTGATGATCTAGTCGTGTGCTCTTCATCTGTTTGAATATCGACAGAACTTGATTCAATAGGTGAGGTCTGTAGGGAAACCTCCTCAACAGACTTATCATCTGTTTGAATAGTTATTGAGCTACAATTCACGTCTGCTTGTTGGGCAAAATCTGATCTTTCTACTGCAATTAAACTGCTATTCAATGAGTCTGTTTCCTTAATTCCATTACTATTATTATTATTATAAAAGAGATATTGTGGTACAATATCTTCATAATATACCTCCGAATCATTTTCAATTGGATAGACAGATGTTGAAGGATGGCTTAAAAGTATTCTCGTGTCTGTATCGTCCAACAATACAGACTCCATTGTTTTAAGAACATTTAAAACTGTCGATCCCATTTGATCTTGTTGTGGTATTTCCTTCCTACTTGCCTCCACCAAAGACTCTACCATTGAGAAGAAGTGGGATGTATCACTTAAGAGACTTGGAATGGTAGATTCCGATGATTTTTCTGGTTTTACAAATCTATTCATTGAAATATCAATCCCAATTTTTGAATACTCTCTTGCAAGATGGGAAAATGCTGACCTAGAGATGGATACTAATTGAGAAAATTCCAAATCCAAAATTTTCTTTCTATCCTTATTTTCTGGCAGTAGGGCCTTCTCGGGAATTGGTTTTGGCGAGTCATCTTTAAAGTAAGCAAGTATTTCTTCCTTTTCCTCTTTTTCTCTATTCTCTATTTCCTTAAGTCTTGTTTTTGTCAAACATTCACCTGTCTTGTTGACAAGGTGCCTCAACTTGGTCACAATACTTCTCCTCTTATGCCCTGAATTTTCCGAATCGTTAGACATACAAATATCGGAAGTATTAAAACCATTTTCATCGTCTATTATACAGTTACCCTCTGCCAGAACTTCCTCTTTGCTTGCTGAGGTTTTATTATGTGAGTCTTGTTTTGATGGTGGTGTTGCTGGTATTGTGGTATTGTACCTAGGTTGTTGCTGTTGTTGAAGTTGTTGTTGTTGAAGAGGAAAAGAAGGATGAGTAGGATAATAATTTGTTGCAGAGTAGGGATTTGAATAAAGTCCCTTAATACCTAGAGGAAGTGATGGAATTGGATGAACAGGTATTTGAGGAATTGGATAATAACATGTCGGAAATGTTGGCTGTGGATAGATGTACCTCGTAGGGGAGGGTGTTGTGACTGTATCGAAATTTTTACTACGTCTATTCCTCTTCCTTTTAACGACAATATTATTATTAATTTTTGTTTCTCCTGGAAGTAATAAATTTGGATTAGGAGGGGAAGGTGTGACTCCACTTCTAGGTGGAGGAGGAGGTGTTATTGAAGAATTTGCAACTCGTGGTGAATTTAGAGAAGGAGGTGGTGGTGTAGTTATAGATGAGGAAGGAGAGGAAAACCTATTATTATTATTGTTATTTGGTGGTGTTGATGGTGGACGTAGGGGATTATTAACCCTCCTAAGAATGGAAGGTGTTGGATTTGTTGTATGTGTATGTTGCTGCTGCAGCTGTTGTTGATGACTATTCTTTTGTAGCATAATGCTCACTTAGAGGTTGTTTAAATTAATAATATATGATGTTATTGCAAAAGAAAAAAAAAGAATCTTATTTTCTTTTTTTTCAAAATGTTTTTTTAAAATGGCGCCAATCACCGATATTTAACGTTTATCTTGTTGATATATTGAATTAATGCTTTGTTGATATTTAAATAATGGTGTTTGTAGTTAAATTATTTGGTGATAATATGAAAAGAGCATGTAATAAAAATTTTATAACGATGCAAAGAGGCGTTAGTTTTAAATTTTTTTGTAATCTTTTTTTGGATTTGATGATGAAATAAATGAATTCAATCATGAACGTATTGACTAATGTGTTGCTTAATATTAATTATTATTAAATTGATTATTAATTTAATACTTATTAAATATTATTTATGATGTTAGAAATTAAACCCAACTTGAAAAAAAAATGTCGGAAGCGCAAAGACAAGAATTGGAATTGGTGATGAAAACTCAAGTCACTAAACAAATTATTGATTTGACTAAAAAATGCTTTGAAGCTTGCGTTGCAAATCCAAATACTAAAGGATTAGTTAAATGTTAGTATTATGATGGTGAGGATGAAATTTTAATTTCTTCGGAATTTTGTTTATCGGAATGAATTCATATTATTACTTTGGATAATTATCGGAACTATTAATTATTGATGAAAATGATGAATTTATAATTTATTGACATGAAACATTATAGATGACAAGATTTGTATCGAAAATTGTGTTTCAAATTATTTAGATGCTGCTTCGATAATTTCCAATTCACAACAAAGATAAATTTTACCTTACTCGATGTAATTTTAATTAAACAAGTAGAGAAGTTTTTGTATGATTACCAGAGGAATTTGTCTCATCTTGATATTTGATTATGGATGGACTTCCTTGACCAAAATATTTGATAATAATGATTACCAATTTCTTAAATTCTTCCTTTTCTTCTGGTGTAAATGTGGAAAAGTGTTCCAATATCCAAACTAAAAGTTGATTCATATTGGCACCGATGGTATCATTTGGTGGCTTGTCAATTGCCAAGAATAAGTGATATAACCAATTACAACGAGAAATATTATCAGAGTTGGCTGATTCATTAATGAGATAATTGGTAATCCACTTTTCCTTGTTTGTGGATTGTTCTGACTTGTCCTCATTCTCCTCTTCTTCATCATCACTATTGGAATTGAAAAGAGAGGCCACCAGAGAGGGCTTTCTTCTCAAAATTGAATTATTGTGGAAATTACTGACAGTCCAATGGATCATCTTGCTGAACAATGCATGAATCGTCAAATAATCCAAATAATCAGTCAAGAGTGCATAAGTTGGTATTTTAGTATCTAAGGTAGTATCCATTAATGATGCATCTTTTTCGGATGCATCCTTTTTTTGTCTCTTTCTACCTCCTCTCCTATTCTTCTTTTTTGTAGTATTACAGGTGGTATCATTGGTTTGATTATCACTTGTTTCATCCATGCTGCTGTTGTTGCTGTTGGCTGTTGATGATGAAGAGGAAGGAGCATGTGTTGTTTCATCGATCGGAGGAGTGTCATGCAAAGATGTAGTCTCAATTTCATTCTGATCTTGATCTTTAACATGATGTTCCTTATTGGATGCATCTGCAGCATTTTGCTTATTAATGTATTGTTCCCACAAGATGTATACATTCTCCTCTCCAAGACATGCATGTTTCCACTTATCAAAATGTCCATTCAATGGTGGATAGGCATGTTGAAATTTCTTTGCATTTCCACTACTGGCTGATGCAGTTGTGTATCCTCTCAATCTTTTATCAATATCTGTCTGTACAGTATTTCTTTGAGATTTGAAACTTCTCATGAAACTCTCTTCCCAACTCGAGCTCACATTAATACTACCACTACTTTCATCAAATAAATGTATGGTACTATACAAGGATTGATCCATGTCCCTCATGCTCGATCTATTACTCTCAAAATCCTTGGAATCAATGTTGGAAGCAACAACAGTTCCTACACAAAAGTTTTGTGCCTCAAATCTTACATTCAACAAGTACTTTTGAGCTTCCACATCCAAATCGTCCATATATTCATTGTCCAATTCTGATGTTGTGGATGCTGTTTCTTCTGCTATTTGTTGTCCTGTTGATGATGAAGCATGATGATTGTCATGTTGTTGTTCATTCGATGAATGGAAAAAGCCTTTCAACCAATTCTTATCGGAAGGAGGTTTCCAATCAATCTTTTCTATTGTCTTTTTATCAACCACAAAGAATGGTTTTTGTGTAGTGCTAGCTTGTCCTGCTTGTTCATCGTCATCTGAATTTTTCTGTTGTTGCTGCTTTTTCCTTCTCTTCTTTTTCTTCTTCATATCTTGCATCAATTCGGAAGCAGAAAATTCAATAGGAGTAAATTCTCGTTGTTGATTATTTGCCTCCTCTTCTCCCTCATGGTATTCCTCCTCTTGATTTGTCAATTCTAATGTTTCTTCTTCATCATTTTCAACAATATTTTCATCTTGTTTTCTTTTCATTTTTTAAAATTTGTTATTTTGGTTGAACATGTTGTGAATGAGATCACATTGAATGAGAAGTAAGGAAAACATGGAAAACATGTAATGTTGTTGTTGTTGATGTGGTCTGATTGAACATGTAGTAAGGAAGTAACATGTTAGATGAAGATGGATTTTGATATTATATACCTCAGTATTTCTTTTTAATTCTTCTTGAGAACTCTCCAGTACTATATTCTCATTGATTCCATGTTGTGTGTTTAGTGATTCAACCACATGTGAATATTATGGTGAGAGAGAACCACATGTAAGGGAGAGAGAAGAGATTGGGATTCTGTTGTATGGACATGCCACGGGTTTGGTCTATTCTATGATGAGAGGTCCTTCTCACATGTATATGGTTTGTGCGATTAATGTTATCTTGTTGTCTTTTGGCATGTTATAAGCAAACGTGTAAGCCAGCCATGAAATGTATGTGAAAACATCTCTCTCAATCTTTCCTTAATATTTCAATTGTTGATTCACATCTTGTTGTTGATATTGTGAGTCCTCAATTGTTTTTCACATGATGAAGGGATAATACCCATAACATTTCGCAGCATCTGCTTTTACAAGTGCGCAGTATATAGAAAAACGATGAGCAAGCACGCAGATCAATCCTCCTTTTTTTTCTTATAAACTCAATAACACATTTTCCAGCACCATTTTCTGTTCGTTCCTAATCGCCTTAAAAATAAATCGAGATCAATTAAGGATCCACCTCAATTATTGAGTGATACAAAAGCACGACCTCACAGAAATGAGGGGCTAATTTGTAGTGTAGCTACCAATTTCCAAAATCTGTCTCTTATTTCCTTAATATCAAGATCCACTAAAGCAACTCCATTACAGGACTATGCGCTCTGAAAAACTGTCGTTTTCTTAAGATCACTTCCATATCTGCAAGCGAATTATATCAGTTTCATATGAGACTCCTCAACACCTCCTCCACCAACATGATGAAATATCAGACTAGCATTCATCGTATAGGTCCCACAACATCCTATAGAGGATCAAATGTTTAGTGTGAATCAATTAAGAACTCCACCAGCAACCGAACACATCAGCAACACTTATTCACACCTGGCTCACCATATTCAAAATCGGCCATAATGAAACTGTACAATTAGAAAAAAACAAACCAACTCTTCTCACTGGGCAACCATTCTCCAATTCTTTTGAGTGTTGACATATTGGAAAAAGTGGAAATAGTGTTATTCAGAAAATGTATGGTCAGCATCATCATCAGTATGCAAACAACAAGTTTTCTAATAATGATGCATCAAATAGAAAGAATAATGGGTTTCATCATCATCAGCAACAACATCATGTATTGATGGAACCTTCGATATGTTTGGAACCCTTCTCCAATACGAATGAATTATTCCCACTCCATAACAACAAGGTGAAGATATCTTCTCCCAACAATAGAAGAAAACCTTACTGTTCATGTACAAATGATGTTTGTTCTTCAACTTCTTCACTTGCTCATCATCAATTATATTTAAATAATGATTCACTTCCAAGACAACAAATAACATTCAAACAGCATCACCTTCATCACCAACATCTTAAAGAGGCATTATCGTCCGAATTAAAGAACAATGTACAAAATAATCAAGACAATGAACATCATACTGAGATGCAATACAAAACAATGATCGAAAAAAAGACTAGAAATGGGTCTCTTGATTTGTTTGGTGAAATTGAATCAAGCGAATCAAATTTAAAAAGGAAATGTGCAAGGCCAATATCACCATGTAAAAAACAACGTGAAGATCAATTGGAAACAGATGATGATAATTTGTTGTTGGCTGAAAGGGGAACTCTTAAATTGCCAAATACGAGGTCAGGTGCTAATGCTACTATTTTACATGTGGTTCCACTGCTTACATGTTGTAGTGAAAATGGTGCATTAAGTTCACCTACAACATTGCAAACATCAACGAGTACGGATGAGCAAATAGTTATCACATCCATGATGGATGCATCCATGCTGCAGCCTAATAATAATGGATCGCATTCTGTAAATAATCATAGTTGTAGTTCGACTGAATCATCAAATTTTTCACATGAAGATGAGGAAGATGATGAAGCACTGGAAAGGTCATTAACAAACTCATCTCTTACAACGACATGTAAGAAAAATCCATCATTTGAGAATGTTGAATTTGTAACACCAAAGAGAAAATCAAATCGTGGAAGAAAACCAAAACCAAAGAAGGTGAATGTGAGCGAAGGACCATGGACTGAGGAAGAACATGATCTCTTCATGTTGGGATATGAGGAATGTGGAAAGAATTGGTCAAAGATTGCTGATGAATATGTGCCTTCGAGATCGAGAACTCAAATTGCTAGTCATGCACAGAAATACTTTCGTAAACAACGGAATAAAAAGCAATGATTAATAAATCAACTAGGATTGCTAAAATTGTGATCTGTTAGATAAACTCGTGTTTTCAAATTATATTACAAATAAATACATGTGTATATAATACACATGTGCTTAATAGCTGATATGAGATCTGAAACAAGGAGAGATCTACGTTGGAATAGGCCAAAACAAGATCAGAAAGATGAACATCCCAAGATTACCGAGAAGAGTTCTGTTTACTGTTTATACCAACATTTCATCATCATTATCATAGTATTGTCCAGATCCATAATGGTCATCCTCTTCTTCAGCATGTTCTCCTTCTTGTTCTGGATGTTCATCTTTCTGATCTTGGTCATCAATTATAACTGCATCTTCATGATTCCAATCTCCATTATTTTCATTTCCTTCTCCTTCTTCCTGTTGTTGTTCTTCTTGTGGTGGTTGATCATAATCATATCCACCATAATCACCTCCTCCACAATACATGTCTGGATCATCAATTAAATCTGGATCATAGGCATCAATTCCTGAATTACCACCTCCACCTCCCAAATCATAATCACCTTGTTCAGCATTATCAGCATCATCCGCATTATTATTCGATGAAGATGATTGCATTTCAGAGAAGGATGTCACCAATCCCATAATACCAATACCCTTCTTCTTTTTCTTTTGTTCCTGATATTCTTCTTCCTCTTGCTCTTCCTCTGTTCTGAGCTTTATCACTTGGAGACCAATATCACTCTCCTTAATATTCTTCTTCTTCTTTTCAGCTCTAATCTTAGTCAAGAGTGGAGCTAGGAAATCTAATTTACAGGCCTTCTTGATAAATTCATGTTCCAATAATTCATCAATGGTGGCACGTTTGGTTGGATCCTTTTCTAAACATCTCTTCAAGAAATCATGGAATACATCAGACCACTCTGATGAACTCTTAAAGGTTGGTGGATCTTGTGAACGAATCAAGAAGAGTGCCTTGATTGGTGGATGTTCAATGAGTGGCACTTCACCATCTGCCAGTTCCAATGTTAAAATACCCAATGACCAAACATCTGACTTTTCATCATATTCAGCTCCAGAAACAACTTCAGGACTCATCCAATAAGGTGTTCCCACAACTGATCTTCTTCTTCCAGTATTTTCAGCACAAAAACCAAAGTCGGCCAACTTGATTTTACCATCTTTTGTAATGAGTACATTGTCTGATTTGACATCTCTGTGAATGACGCCATATTTTACATGAAGCATGTGTAAACCCTTCAAAATTGGTTGTAACATTGCAGCAATTTCACTTTCCATAAATCTAGTGTGGAGTAAATCAGTTAATTTACCCCCAGAAACGTATTCCATAGTGACCCACAATTCATCATTTGATTTTCTTTGATGTTCTGCCATATTTTCCAATTCCTTAGCTGCCGGTGAATTGTTAATCACTTGTTGTTGCATGTATGGATTATTTGCTTGTGTTGGTTTCTCGTTTTGCTTGTTTGGTTTGTTAGCAGCTGAATCATGATAATTCTTTCTCTTTGAAGCTGCCAAATATCTTCCAATATGTTCATAAATTCCATTATTCACTGTCATGTAAGTTCCAAAATACTGAACCATCAACGTCTTGTCACTTGTAATATCATATTCAAAAATGTTATTATAAGATTTGCAGGCATGTTTCATCATGAAAATTTCATTTTCAATCATGTCAAAATTGGTGTTTTTCACACTTGTCAGTGGCATGACTTTGATGGCAACTTTCTTTCCACTTGGTACGTGAATTGCCTTGTAAACATCAGCTGTACTTCCTGTACCAATTTTCTTCATTTTGGTGAATAGACGAAATGGATTTTCTGGACTAATCAAATCAATTAACAACTTGTCCTTTTTAAATTTCGAATTTTGATTTGAATTTTCTAATTGTGAAACTTCTACATAGTAACCAGCTTGAGTTTTTTTCATATTTGTAAATCCCATAACAAATTGACCATTTTTAACTGATGATTCATCATTTGATTGAGGTGTAGCTGTACTATTCTTTTTTGTAAATATTTTAGAAAAGAAACTTTGCGAATGTTGACGATCATGTTGAGGAGTTGAAACTGAATTGGTAGAAATTGTCATTTCTGTAACATTTGAATTTGCTAAATTATTAGAATTAGCACCAATGGAAGTGCTTGTAGGTGTTGTTGGACTTGTTGAATCAATTTCTGGTGTCAAAGTTGGTGTAGAATTTGTTGAAATATTGACAGGTGAGGTTGAAAGGGATTGATGAGCAGCCTTGTTTCTATTCCTGAGTTTGTTGAAAAATAATGATGATGCAGAAGTACTAGGAGTAGCAACACTTGTAGAATTTGATGAATTATTATTTGTTGTTGATGTTGACACCATGACAGGTTCACTCATAGTTCTATCTAATGATTGTTGTTGTTGTTGTTGCTGTTCAGAATTAACATCATCAACAGTATAGTTAATTCCTTGAATATTTGATAAATCCCAATCTTTAGGAACACCTGACAGACCAAATTCTCTGTCAAAGTCAACGTGATGTTCTAATCTGACATTGAAAGGACCACTAATTTCCAGCGTTGATGTAGATGATGAAGCAGATGACTGACCACTTTGTGATGAGTCCTTCTTTCTTTTGAATAAATTCTTCATTTTTTTGCTGTTAATTTTTGACAGTTTGATTTTTGACGTCGTCCAACATCTTAGAGTTTGTTTCAGAAAAAAAACTGTAGATTGTTTTTGAGGTATTAATAGTGAACCATGACGATAATTAATTGTAGATGATCAAAAACTTATTGTAATTTGATTAGGATGATCCTCTAAACATCCAACTTTCCATTATGTGAAATGATTACACAGGAATAACTCAAAGAGATGTGTTTCAACCATAAAATAGCAACATCTAATCGAATATGTTATTAGATTCTTGAGAGGCTAAATCAAATTCCCCAACTTTCACTGTCATCGTGTACTTGTCCTATATGCGAAACCAGTTTTTGTACGAAACTCAGGATAAAGAGCTATGAACAATCAGGGGCAAATTACACAATGAAGGAAAGTAGCAAATTAGTTCGTTTTCGCTCTAGATTTGTTGTTTTGATTGAAATGGTGACAAATAATTTACCATCAACGCATATCATAGTGCACTACTGTCAAGTGTTATTCAAATCTGTCAATAAATACACACTACCGTTGTAAACATCATTTTCAAAGATGTCTCCCATTGGTTTTAGACATTGAAAATGCGTTTGAAAGTACGATTTCATATCGGTATCTTTGAAGACTTTACAATTGACTTTCCGCCAATAAAAACATGTTTTAGGATTTGTGTGAATGGATTACGACTAAGGTCAAAGGATTTGGTTTCAACATTCGAAAATGGAACATGTTGTAATTGTTTCCATTCTTTTTCAGATGCTCTAAATTGTCGTAGTAAATTGTAAATTTCGGATACTCTAGTTCTCTATCGATTGTTGTTCTCTTACTGAAGACAACAATAATTCAAAACCAGTGAACAACCTTTCCATAAGATTGATTGCAAATCAAAATTGTGTTACGTGTCTTTTAAAAATTGTCAATTCTAGTCTGTTCCTGTAACTTACTTCAATATCTCCACAGATTTTATGGCAACAACTCTCACTATATCAATCTTTTGATTGCGCAAGATAATGCTGATATGCAATTTGTAACTACCAAATTCATTGAAATTAATTGTTTGGCATCAACATAAATCAGGATCAAATCCCCCAGTTAAACAATTTGTCAATTTTCAATGATTTTTTTCATTACAAGGATCAATGGGCGTTCTCTTTGTTCATGACAATTTCATTACGACAATCTGACAACCTAACGGCAATACGAATACCAATGTTGTTGTTGGGTGTCTAGCTACAATGGTTTGTTTCCATATATATTGTCGCCACAATCTTTCTTGACATCTTTGAGTCAAACCCACCAAATATTGAAGAGGATTATAAAACATGCTCCCATTTGTCCAGTCTACACCAACCAAGCAAAAAAAAATAACGTAAAATAGAATGTCAGCTGCCAACTTGATGTTGTTCGCTAATCATAGTGCTAGTAATAGTATTGTTGATGAAGTGACCAATGAAGTGCTAATTGACTTGATGAACAGACATGATTTCATGTCTTTGCTCGATCAAGTTGTTGAAGATTCCTCGACTAAACCTTTCAATTCTTCCAATAATTCATGTACTTTTCATCCTCAAAAACCTCAAGAATGCCAAATGATCCAATCCACCATCTCTTCACCATCAGACATGATCACTCTCGATGAAAGTTATATTCATCAACTCATTGATCTCGAGTTGAGAAATGTGCCATCCACATTAGGTTTAGTTTGGAGTAAACTTTCCTCCACTACCAATGAATTTCAATTCAATGCTAGAACCATCACCCAATCTTCAACTTCATCTTCCCCTACTACTACTACCACAACTAGTGCATGTAGCAATTCTAATACATTATTCAATAGTTTCTCATCAAACAATGAGAATCAATACTCAACCACAACAACCTCTCCACTTCTTGCCGGCAATAACGTGTGGGAACCATCCAGCACACCGATTACATCTGTTCCTGATTCCTCCAATTTCGTTATCCTTCCTAGTTTGGAAAATTCACAACAACCTGATTTACACCTCCAATGCAATAACAGCAACGGTATGAAACCATTCAATGGTTCATTATCGTATACTGGCAGTCCTAGCAAAATTGCTAAAAAGCAGAAAATGAAAGCTTCCTCTTCTCCAATGAAGAAACAATTAGTTTCGAATAATGAAGAATTATCATATTGCATATCTTTCCATCAACCAGAATCTAGTTTTTCTAACTTTACATCATATAATGATGACAAGAAGGTTTCAAAGAAAAGGAGATCTTCATCAAGCAGCAATAATAACATGCCAAACTATCGAGTAAGGTTTTCACACAACAAGTTCGAGGAAATTGAGTTTAAAAAGTCCAATCCAAAAGGAAAGTTTATCATTTTCAAATAAACTACATCACCCCCAAAAACAGAAGACTCTTGAAATCTTATTTCAATAAAAACCCCAAGTGTTAATGCGAAAAACCTTTCCTCTTTCGTACTCGACTCTTTTTGCTTTAAAGTTGTCCAATTATGTATATAACCACCAGCCGATGTGAACTAAGGACATCAAACACAATGCAAATTGTTGCCGACTTGTAACTGTAGTTAATTACTGTAGTAACTTCTTCAATTCCAACATTGTTTTCCAGTTCCTACTTGTTGCATTCACTTTGAACTTTTTCTCCAACATGTTATTGGTCAATTTAGTTTTTGCAGCACCACTTTTCAATCGAAGGTAAATGCAACAAGTAGCATCAGCAGCATCTGTTGAATCCACAATTTCAAATTCATCAGGTGAATAGGAATCCTTATTATCCTTCATCATGTTCTCCACCAATTCACCTTGTGGTTTTGAAATCAACAGGCAAATGTACAAATCATCAATCTTCTTCTCCTTCACCGAGTAGAATGGATTATTGGCAATAATTTGATGAAATTCTGTGGCATGTCTAATCATTACTGGTACATCAAAGGTAAATTCCTTCATCAGAATATTGGTAATTTCCTCCTCCAGTCTTCTCTCATCATTGGAAAGCAATTTTAAATTCAAATCGAAAATTACATTGCCACTCGCTAAATAACTTTTAATATTTTGCAATTTTTGAATATTATCAACCGCACCAGCAGAATCATCAGAATTATTAGAATTATTCAATGATGAAGTATTTGATGAATTATTTGATGATGACTTATTATTATCATCAGAAGGCTTAAATTTAATATTACTCAGCGTCTTTTTCAAATCAGCCATTTTGATGGATTTACTTCCTCCGACATTGATTCCTCTCAAGAGTAGAACGTAGCGATGCATTGTTTAATGTGTTTTAATTTTCCGAATACTTTTCTTCTATCGAACAAGTTTTGAATTTTTTATTGTTGCAGATGTTCTGGATTTTGGTGGAATTTAAATATTTTGTAAGCAAATGTGCGAGGTGACAATGTGCAGGATGGATTGAGTTAAAGGAGAGAAAGGATTTGGTGGTAATGCCAATGGTTGAGTGATAGTTGGTTAAACTTTCGAATAATCGTTTCTTGGCTGAGAGCATTTCTGAGGAAATGATTAAGAAATGCTCTCAGCCAAGAAATTGTTTAAAACTCATTCAACCACTGAACTGTATCTGTCAAGCTGTTATAAATATTTCTAATCTCTGTAAACATAGATGAATGGTGTTGATTTTTGATATATTCATCACTTCAATCTTTCTTTCGTATACAGGAGCTGAATAGTACATGGATTGAACACCCATCTGATAATGTAGAGGTAGAAATCTTGGTTGACTGATGTTGATGTTGTAAACAAACACCTGAACATTTCCATAATTTTGATTTATTCGGAAGAAACACCAAAGAATGAATTTGTTTCATATCCTCATGAGGATTTAAAGGTATGTAGTTGATGATATTTTTACATGGTAGGGAAATCATATTCCTCACCCAAATATCTAATATTCATTATTAACATTACAAAATTAGTACCTAAATAAGTTGTGGCATCTGTTCGAATGGATTCTTGCATGGAACGAATAAAAGAATCAGATGATTGACTTTCGGCAGGTAGAGAATGTAATGTGAATTGTTGTGTAATGGAGCTAGCACCACCGACATATCTATTATCGACATATGTCACATCAGCAATTATTGAGCTGGCATCCAAGAGGGGTGGAAGTATAAATTTCACAAGTTGACTTGGACCGACATTGGCAATACTAATCTTATGACTTCCAATTTTTAATGAAATGGATGACATGGCAGCAACATATGTTTTGGTCAATTGATAATTTAACGTATACTTTCTCAATCCATTTTCCAAAACAGTATAATTCAACACTGATGTTGGACTAGGTTGGGTAATTGCATCTGGAACCAAATAAAGATAAGCTCTATATTTAAAATTGGTAAAATTAGGAACTGTAAAACGAACTGAGATTTTCAATACTTTAACACTTGTTGGAATATTTGAACCAGAAATTGTAAACTTTCTCTGATTAGTATCCAGTGTAATATATGACGATGTTGGCGTTAATAAGTTATTATCTTGATCTCTAACTTCATAAGTAAGTGTGGCTCCATTCACAGTATCCTTAAATTGGTAATCCATCCAAGAATAGACAGCTGTGTGAGAATTGGTTCGATCAATTTTGGCCAACTGCATTCCAGCAATGATACTGTACAAAGTTGCTCCATTCAAAGTCTTGAAACCAAATCCCTGAGATGGGGTTACTGAGCTTTGGAGATAATAGGGAATGCCAGCAATCACAACCTTAGCTCTGACGTAAAGAGGATTCTTAGCAAGGAAAAAAGTGTCGAGTGGAACGTTTAGGATGTTGGAATCTTTGGATGCTGCAATTGCTGCCATCCATTCATTACTGCACTTTCCACCAACTCCAGACCATTCGAAACAATCCCAGTCAACTGAATCAAAAGTGTGTCCATTGGTTAGGATGGTTATGGCTGCGGGACCTGCTTGTGTTGGAAGAGGATTTAGACTACCAGTATCAAAATCAGGTCTCGCTCCACTATTTCTGTTAATAAAGAATGATTTGATTGATTTTTGAGTGACAATTTTTCCACTTGGCACATGAGTGACAGTTCCAATAATTTGATAAAACTTGGAAGAGTTAAACACTTGACCATCGAATCCTTCATAAACATTATTCTGATTGTCATAGTTATACGCTGAGGAAATTGTTAAAATACCATTCGAATTCTGTAAAGTAACGAAAGTGTTATCCGAAGGTGTTGGACTAATTGAAAATTGAATGGAATAACTAGAGTTTGGAAGTGAAATAGGTGAATTATCTTGTAATAGAGAGTATTTTAACTTGTATGGTAACATGTCATTATGTACATAAAGAATTTGAGTTGGTAAATTGAATTTCAAATTGTAAGCTCCATTGTAAACTTGTTGTAAAGTTGTAGATTTCAATACAGTGAATGTCATATGAGTAGGATTACTGGAAATATTATTAATTTGATTTCTAACAATCAATTGGATCTGGAATGTAGTAACAGTTGATGGAATGTCAGATTTTGTAATTGTCAGTTGACCAAATTTTCCACTCGAAATTCTTGAATTCAAATTCGATTGAAATAAGGCAAAATCAGAATCACTACTCTTCAAAGACCATTCAAATGTCAGATTTCTTTCTCTTTCAATTCTTAGTAAATTTGAACCAATTAAAGTTAAATCACTATTTGGAAGAATATAAGTTGAATTCGAATAGATTTTGGCAACTGGAAGGACAAGTTTCGTATTGATAGAATCAAAAGGAAGGGAAATGGTTTCGTTTTTCTGAATACCATTTTCAAAACCACTTGGAATTATAACAATTCTATCAGAATTAAGAATTGGAGAAAATGTCGAATCTTTTGGAATGGTAATTCTCAACATATTATTCGAATCAATCCAGCATTCAGGGAAGGATCCAAGCATTCTTCTACTTTCCAAAACCAATATCAAAGAGCAATTCAGTAAATTCTGCAAATTATTTGGACGAATCACTAATGGAATTACAATTTCATTTCCCAATGAATTTAAACCGAAACTTTCACCGATTCTCAATAAACAGCTTGATCCAAAATATCCATTCTTACATTTTTGACACATTGACAAATCATCCCAATAACCATCCTCATTAGATTGATCACATTCACAGAAAATTCCATCTCTTGAACATTCTCCATGTCCATGACATGTGTCCACTCTGGAACAGCTATGGTTACAGAATGGACCATAGAAACCACCCTGACACAAACTACAGGATGGTCCCGAGTATTGTTCTTCACATTGACATGTATTGTTAAAGCAAGATCCTAAAAGATTACAAAAAGTTTCAGATTGACAAGTTACTGTTTCGTTACAATGCGTTCCAGAGTAATTTTCATCACAGATATCACAATTTTCTCCACTCCAATAACCTTGTTGTAAATTTGAGTAGCATGAGCAAGTGTCAATATCTAAACATTGTCCATTTCCAGAACAAGAAATTTCACTTGTTGATGAAATACCAAAACAGGAAAATTGTTCACATGCATCTCCGTAATAACCATCCTTACAAATGCAACCATCATTGGTAGAGGAACAGAAACCATTTCCATTGCAAACATTTGAATCTGTGCTATTGTAAAAATGGAAATTTCTTCCTAAACATTGAACTATTTCACATTCATTTCCAATAAAGTTCAATGAAGAATTTCCAGAAGAAGTACAATTACATGTATTGTAATCGATGCAGTTGCCATGTCCACTGCAAACCAGTGCATCATATTGTGGAATTGAAAAGCAGAATGTACTCTGACACATGTCATGGTCATTGTAACCTTCCATACATAGACATGTGTCATTGGCAATACATTTTCCTCTTCCATTACATGTTCTGTTATCACTATCAATTATTGATCCACAAAATGATGCTGGAATTGCAATAGATGAGCCTTGCGAAGATACTGAACCAAGTACTTCACAATTAGCTCCAGAAAAACCTGATTGACATTCGCATGTATCTTGTCCCTTGCATGTACCTTTACCAGAGCAAACGCTTGATGTCAAAGTTGATGGAATACCATAACATAGTGGAATTTGACATTCAGTTCCTGTATAACCATCTTGGCATGAGCACACGTTCGTGTCCAAACATTTTCCATGACCAGAACAAACTCTTGAATCACCTCCACTCACACCAAAACACATCAATTTGGTACTATTCAAATGGCACATGAATCCAGAAGTTCCCTCCTTACATTTACAAACACCATTTTCACACTGTCCATTTCCATTGCAATTATAAGAAATAATTGCATTAGGAAAACACAAATCTACTTCACAGTTCAATCCAGAATAGGGAGAGGAAGAACCCAATGATGAATCCACATTACATGTGCACAAATTATCTGGTGTGCAAACACCTCTTCCAGAACAAGTTTTTGAACTGCTCGATGCAATTCCAAAACATGTTTCACCTCTGACTGGCTGAATGCATGATGAATGGAAGAATAGCAATACTGTTTGAAAGCATAATATTAGTAGCAGTGGCAATGCGCAGAGGTTTTTCATGGAATGATGACGATGAAGAATCATCTGTTTTTTTTTCGTGTGGTTGTTGAGAGAAGGTTCCATGGATGTTAAACAACGATTTGAAGTTGTTGATGAAACGCGATCTGGTGCTGTGTCTAGTGTTTTAGTGGTTCTAGAAGACCAAGGAGGAGACAAAATAGGTTCCTTCCATTCTGATAAGGCGATTTTGCCTAACATAAATCCCCAGTAATACAAAATGTGCCTGCCTTAACAAGGTGGACATGTGCTAATTTAATTGTGTTAAGATTATACACCCAGTAGTGAAGGAGGAAGGTCAGAAATTGGTAGGGGCTGCACTGTTTATTAATATACACATCCGTTCAAAGTTCCTTAATAGTTAAAGGATATTCCTTATATTTCACACTCTAAATAAATGGAATGAATAAATTATTAACCTAATAGTTTCGAAGAGACTTCAAATTTCTATCTTGAACATTTAATTGTAATTATTTTAATGTAAATTCTGAAATGACATTCATTACATATAATCCTTGCACAATTCTTCACTGAAGTTCCATAACTTGTCTTGAATGTCGACATTATTTGCAAGAGAGGTTTCTCTAGCCAGTCCACAATCTGAATAATATCCTCCACTACGTAACTTATCCATACTTTCCAAGGCAACATGGATTTGAGTTTGAGCACCTCCTTCTGGAGTCTTGAAAAAGTACCAAACAATCCAATTCAAAATGGACATGATTGGCATTCTGCGGAAAAAGTTTGTTTGCACAGCTCCTGGATGTATAACATATACTCCAACCTTTGAATCTTGTAATTGTCTAGCAAGGGATTTTGTAAATAACAAGTTACAGAGCTTGGATTGACCATAAGCAAACATGGTAGGGTCAGCCTTACTAATTCTTTCCTTTGTAAAATTCAAGTGTTCCTCCTTTCTAACAAACATGTGAGCAGCCGATCCAACATTGATAATTTTACATTCCTTATAATATTTAACACTAGTATCCAAAATCAATTGTCTCAAATAATGAACCAATAAAAAGTGGCTCAAGTGATTTACAGCAAAATGAGTTTCGTATCCCTGTTTAGAAACACCATCAGCTCCTCCCAATCCAGCATTATTAATCAAAATATCCAATCGATTAAATCTCTGTAAAAATTCCTTTGCAAATTCTCTAACACTTTCCAAATCATCCAAATCCACCTTCATTACAACAATAAATCCTCTCTGTTCTCCCTTATGTTGATTCAACAATTCAAAGAATTCCTTCTCACTTCTTGCTTTATCTCTAACAGCAACAACAACTTGAGCTCCTCTTAAATACAAAGCCTTTACAGTTTCATAACCAATTCCTCCTCTACTACATCCAGTAACCAGCACAACTTGTCCACTCAAATCCTTCTTATTCATCAATTCGGAAGAAACGAAAGTTCCTCTGAAAAATCTTCGCCCCAAGTACAACATTAAACTTCCCAAAAATCCGTAAGAGATCACCCTATTCATCTTATCACTACTCTTCACCGTGCAAGATAACAGAGTTTCAAAATGATCCTTCACGGAGGAGGGAATAAGCGCTGTGATTGTTTCCATTTTTTTATTGTTGTTTTTCTTATTCATCCGATCGCACATTAGCGTGCCTTAAATGAACTTGAAAAATTGGCGTTTTTTAATACTATTTTGGAAATTTAATGTCCTTACAGTAGTTTGAGGGAAGAATTTGAGTCAAAAGATATTGAGATTGGGTTTTCTTCAATATATATGGGGTTCAAAAAAAATGGGCAAAACTCCTCCGACTCCCGGAGGAAAACTTGACCAGTCTCCAAGCAACAACAACACATCAGCAAGGAAGGCCAACACACCTGCCACATCCAAAGCAGAAGCTAAAGATGGTAGACAGGTACGCCACATCTTCCCATCTTATAAGCGTAGATTCAGGGTCCTTCTTGCGGGTCATCCTGATAACAGCAGCCAGCAACAAATTTTAGAACACTACAACATTAACCTGAGTTGGGTTAATGGTGTTCACATTCCATTGGGCCTCAAAGGAGTAGCCTTTGCTTACTTTGTGAGCCATGAAATGGCACTTAATGCTGTTAAGGAGTGGAAAGGTACAGACTCATTTATGTTTCTTCAAAGAGTCTCCACTCTGTATCGCTATAAGGTAGACCTTCCATTCAATATTCCAAACCTTAAAAAGGTGATCGGTGAGGTGAAGTCAGTTGTTAGCATGAATTATTCCCCTTCGAATAATTTCTGGGCTGTTAATGTTGAAAATCTATTAGATAATAAACCCAACTTTCTATCTGAAATAGACGTCAGTACCACTACTCTACGTCTCACTTGGGATTCGGATAGAAAACTACAAATCGATGCACTCAAAAAGGTCATTATTAGTGCGTGGAAACTTAATCCTGAACTTGACATTAACAACAACACCGCTTATGTTAAAGTCAAACGTGAAGAGCTGAAAAAAAGCACACTCACCAAAATTATCTACGTTGGAGATGTCGTTGTCACAAATCTCTCCTTCAATCCTAGACTCAACAAACCTTCCCTCATCACCAAAGTGAAGGAGTTGGTTCAACACGCCATCTCAGAAGCTTCCCTCGTAGATCCTACCAGATTTGTTCTTGCCAGTGCATACACTGAGCTGCAATCTCGGGTTGATTCATTAGTCAAAGAAAATCAGGCTCTGAAGACTAAGAATGATGAGTTAGAAAAATCCATTACAAATATCAATACTATACACACAAATGATTTTAAGGAACTCAATACTAGTATTAATAATATTAGAACCCACTACACTAACCTCGATAAGAACGTCTTGGACAAATCAGTTACTCTTAGCAACCACTCTAAAGAAAATAATGAAATGAAAGTTAAAGTTGCTAAAATTGACGGTCTTTTGGATGAAATTACTTCCCTCCAAATCCAACTCAGTCAGTTGCAATCCTCCTTCACTACCACTGAAACTAAAATTAATACACTCAGTGAAGATAGCAACAAAAGGAATACTCAAGTACAAGAAATGCTTGCCGAACTAGATACGGACTATGAAAATACTTATACTATGATTGGTGCATTAGACGATAAGTTGACTGAATTGTCAACAGATGTGCAAACCTTTTTACCTTCTGGCTCAAGTCACAAGCCTAGAAAACAAAGAAAACAAGGCAAAGAAGCTCTCACTCTATCCGACGATGATACGGATATGAACGGAGCTTCCGACCAACAATAATGGTCTCCCCTCGCATTAGAATGGCCTCTTGTAATCTGTCGTCCTTCTCTCTAGACAAACAAGCCATTCTACTCCAACACATTAATAGAGAAGGACTTAATGTAGTGAATGTCCAAGAAACTCATTGGTCACACAATGAATTCAAGGATCAAGTTTCAAAAGCTGCCAAATTCTTTCAACCGTGCTCCATATTTGGATCACACTGTAATAAGGATGATAAAGCAGCCGGTGTCATTACGATTATCAAAGGTACTCTTCAAAGAAAGGTACTATCATTTGAAGAACTCTATCAAGGCAGATTGACATGCCTAAAATTGGAAACAAGTGATGGTATCATCAATATAATCAACTGGTATGGTGTCCACCGAGTCTCAAGTGAATTTCACAAGATCCTTTCAAAAGTTACAGATCTAGTTACAGAATGCATGTTTCACTCGGAGCACATTTTCATACTTGGAGATCTCAATATTAATTTGTATTTTGGG